TCGTATGTTCATACCACCATGGTATGCTTTCATACCATATGGTATAGACCGGTAATAAATGTCTCAATTTCTTTGTTCCAAAAATATATAGAAGTGGATATCATTTTGGAGAGCACAATTAATCTAATGTATCCGTGGGAAAAAATTCCAACTTAAAACGAGAGAGAAATCTTCTGTTAAAACTTAAGGGGAAAACTAAAAAGGTTAGAGGCATTCCATAAGTGGCAGGGGGTGGTGATGTGGCGGCTGGTGGTTGGGCTATGCAGGATTATTGATCTGAAGGTAATTGGTACTATCCAATCCCCTAGTGCACCGACCCAATCATTTTATGTCACGTGAGCCATTAAAACTTTGTAAGAAAAAAAAAATAAAAATTAAATGATATCGTTTCTTTCTCTCCCTTTCTCTCATAGTACCCCTTGTTTTCTCCATCTCTTCTTTTCTCCACCGAAAAAAATAGTAAGCACCAAGTCGTCACAGAGTTGGAAAATCACCATAAGAGAGTTGCAGCACCGATCAGTTGAACGCCGAGACAATAACTCGCTAAAACACAACTCTTAACAATGGTCAAGTGTAACCAATGAAATGGTTTGCAGTATAGTGGTGCAATTAATAGATATCGAATCCATGAGGTCTCTAGATTTACTATTACTCAGCTTCGGCTTGTTATCTAGCAAATCAGATTAAGGCTTGATTAACTAAACTACTCCTACAAGCTACTCTAGGTTAGACTACTAATTACAGGTTGGGAACTCACTTAGGTATGATTCCCCTTAGCCACTAGCCAGATTAATAGTTGATGATCTCTAACTTGTTTCACTTTCATTCACAATGCGAAGAATCCTTGACTAGACCTTGAATCTCGACTAAGGAAATCCAGGCCCTCTTAAGTCGATTGCCTAGAGGGACGTATCCTTCTCTTGAACAACCGATCAAGACGTTCTAAACTAGATTTCTTCTTTCGAATGAGGTTCTCAAGTAGGTTTTGAGAAGCGTAGGTTTTCCATCGGAATCAGGGAAAAGCAAAGAGCTCAGAGAAGGTAGAGGCGAGTACAAAGATCTCAGAGAATAAGATCTCGAAGGCGAGGAAGGCGTCACTGTAATTTTGAGCTCAATTAATTGTGTTTCTTTGATGTTTCTTTAAAGTGTGAATGCAGTGGGGAGGGAGCTTCCGGAAGGGACTTCATAGAAAACAAAAGCAGCGGTGGGGGAAGAAGATAAATCAAGAAAATCACGAACAACAGATGTGGCCACATGGGTAGGGGTGGGCAACGGGACGGGACGGGATACCCGTCCCGTTTTAAACGGGTACCCAGTCCCATTTGGAGGCCAAAGTCCTTCCCATATCCCAAACCCATATGGGAAACGGATACCCATTACCCGTACGGGACGGATAACGGGTACCCATACTACCCATAAATACCCAAAGTTTAAACCACTCAAATTTTAACAAAAGTTTAAACTTAACTTAATAACTTGTACTTGCTTAACAATCACAAGACACAAATCATGAACAATCACAACGCATAGAAATAAATCATTCTAAGCACCAAATTATCAAATAAGAAGTTTCATTCAACACAACCAAAATATAAAATAAAAAGTTTCTGCTTCTGCAAGTTGCTGCTACTATTCCTTCTACAAGCTGTTGTGCTACTCGTCCTTCTACAAGCTACCGGAGTGCTGGAACTGTTGCGGTTCTCCCTTCTGGTGCAGGCTGCTGGAATCATTAATAACAGAGGAAGGGACAATAATTAATAACAGAGGAAGGGACAATGCCGACCAAATGCTGTGGTTCTCCCTTTTGCTATGATACAATCCACAGTGAACAGATCACAATTTATTTATAAGGACTGAAATATTGACCACAACAATACAAAAACAACAAAGTCCAAAACAATTGAACCCTCCTTATCAATTACAACAAGCCCATAAGAAGGTAAAACGTAAACAAAAAAAAGCAAGCAAGCAAACAAAATTTAACCAAAGACAACCTCCAGTGTATACAGCATTACTCCATGGAGGTGAAAGTGAAAGCCGAAAGGGAATAGGCAGGGTAAGGGTCGACTAAGGGTAAGGGCCGAAATGGCCAAGGCCCAATGCCACATTTCTGAATTAGTGAATTGGGTTGGGGCGCTGGGTTGTGGGTTATTTCTGGTAAATGGGTATAACGGGTACCCACATTACCCAAACGGGTATTTGCGGGTAACCCGCGGGGTACCCATATTAGGAATGTTCAATCCCAAGTCCCATCCGTTTATAATATTACGGGTAATATGGGTACCCGTAACCCTTAAAAAACGGGACGGGTACGGGTATACCCAAATACCCGTTTCCCGTTGCCCACCCCTACACATGGGAAATGATATATTAATTATTAATTACAAAAGTAACTAAAAAAGATAAAAAAAATGAAAAAGGAATTTGTAAATTGTCAAATAATGTATAAAGAAGGGCTAGCGGGTAGGGGCTAAGATCAAGTGACTAAGCGAGGGTCCCTTAGTCACATGACTAAGTCAATCTCAGCCATTTAGCTCCATTAAAATCTGATGGTTCAAATTAATCTACTTTAATGAAGGGTAAGGTGGTATTACATAATTTATTTAAAAATTGAAATAAAAGATAATCATCTGCCCTCCCTCCCGCCCGCACGCCGATCTAGGGAAATTCTCCCGCCGGCTCAGGTAGCCTTTTTTGGCCCAAATGTTTCCCCTCCAGAGAGAGAGAGAGGGAGAGAGAGAGAGAGTATGCTTTGTACTATTTGTCGGTTTCTTTTGTAATGTTTGTAAGTTTTGTTATTTTGTAATGTTTGTATGTTTTGTTACTATCGTCCATCATGTTTATCATTTTTGTCAACTATGTTTGTAATATTTTTTATGCTTAAAAAATAACTTGGTTGACTTTGTAATGTTTGTTCATCTAGGTTGTAATGGCAGATATTATACAAAGTACCAAAAACATACTAACAGTACAAACCGACATGACTTGCATCACAAATCAATACATATAAAGTATACAAATTAATATTACAAAACATGCAAACTATACAAATCATACTGACATTATGTACAAAAATACTAACAATACAAACTGACAACACTTGCATTACAAATCATTGTACTTCCCTCGGACGACTACGATGTCGAGAGATTCGTCGCCGCGGCCGGTGCCGACTCTCTCTACTGTCGTCGCCACCTCTCTCTCTCCATCGCCGCACCGCCTCTCTCTCCTCCACCATCATCTCTCTCTCCTTTTTTTTTTCGACGACGACGACAGATCTGATTTCTCTCTCTCCGCTGCCGCCTCTATCGTGATCTCCTTTCCCTCTCTCCGTCGTCACCGCCGCCATTGTCGAGATCTCCATCTCTCTCCATTGTCGTCGTCGCCCCCCTCGCTTCCACCGTCGCCGTCTTTTTCTCCCCGCCGTTGCATTTCTCTCTCTTCCATGGCAGAAAAGGAAGATTGGAGGAAAAATAAACAAATAAAATTAAATGCATTTTTTATAATCACAGAGTGGGTCGGGGTGGCCTAGTTTGAAAGGTGTTGATCCGGTCTAGTCAGTAAATCGGTTGGACCAAACTCTTACAGAACCACTTCAGTTTGGACAGCAGGTTATACCGGGTGGGGATAGACCTTTGGTTGGGTTTCAAGAAGTTTTTAAGGTCAGGAGAATGCAACAGTTTGGATCTCTCGAGCTGAAAGGTTCTTTAAGTATCAAGGGATACCAGAGGATCAAAAAGTTTCATGGGCTGCATTCCACTTAGAAGGTGACGCGTGGCAGTGGTTGGAGTATACAATGGCTGCTTCCGGGGAAGCGGTCACGTGGGAGCGTTTCAAGGAAGAGTTCTGGTCTAGATTCGAACCGACTGGCTGGGGCACGAGCGAAGAGAATCTTATGCAGCTTAGGCAGACATGATCAATTGATGAGCATAGGCTTGAGTTCGAGAAGCTGACATATCGTTGCAGGGGCTGGCCTGTTAGTACCTTGATCAATGCTTATTTAGCGGGTTTGAAGCCAACAATCGCTAGTGGGGTTCATCAGTTCCAACCTCAATCATTGGGAGAGGTGTTTAGGTTGGCAAGGGGCAGGGAGGAGGAATTAGAAGATATGCGACTTGGATTGGATGCGCCGACAACCGGGAACGTGGCTACGCCAACGCGGGCACCACCCAATGTTCCGTTCGAAACTATCAAGCGTACCCCAACAGAGATCGCAAGGCATCGGAGGGATGACCTGTGCTTCAACTGTGATGAGCGATTCACAATCGGTCATCGTTATGCAGGCCAAGAGTTATTTTTGATGGTCGGCGATTTTTCGGATGATGTCAGAGAGTAACCTCGGGGACAAGGTTATGCTTGAAGGGGAGGATATTGATGCGTGTATGGTACACGTAACTTAGCATATTATTATTATTTACTTAATTGGCGTGAGTCGGTTAGGGTTAGACTACTATATATATTGTCGTTATGCCATTATGTCGTATTATGCGAAGAATATACCCTAAAGTTATTAGTTTTCTCTGTAGTTTATCGTAGAAGTAGATTAGACATCTATCATAGCGACGGAGCCCCGATTTTCCATCAAGTCATGGCGATTTTAAGGGGTGTAGTAATTGTATGGATGCGGAAGATACGACGAGTAGTAGGGATGCGGCTGCTGGTGGATAGAATATCTGTATGTTGATTGTGATGAATCTCATCATATCTTCGTTCCAAGAGGTTGTAGGGTTTTTTTCATGGTGGCTCGAAGGCCGAAATGACGAGATGCATAGAACCGGACGACGTGTGACGATGAAACTAGGTAATTAACCTAGATTCTGTTGCTGTGCAGAACCAGACTTTGATATCAATTGTTATGTGGATTCGTTATATAGAACCTCCCATGGTCCACGCTTTTTGTGGACAAGAGTTCTGATCGTGTTCGTGGATGGTTGTACTCTTACTTCAGAGATTTGAAGATGGTTAGTAAGTATGCATGGGGTGCTGGTGCGCTTGCCTGAATGTATAGGCAGCTTGGGAGATCTAGTCGAGCAGGATCTAAAGGATTTTCTGGGTGCTTGGCCTTGTTACAGGCTTGGATCTATGAGTATTTTCGATCGCTACGCATTAACAGAGATGCACCACAGATCGTGACACAGGGAGACCCATTGGCTAGGAGGTGGGAGGGTCCCGTTCATGGATGGGGGCCTAGTGAGGTTCCACGACGGTTGGATCATTATCGTCGACTGTTGGACGACTTTACAGCGGACCACGTGGACTGGCTTCCTTTTGGTGCCCACCCTGGTCGTGCGGTACCTAGATCTTTGTATCGGGGGGTGATACGTATCTATGACGTGGCTGAGGCCTACGATCCCTCACGCACTCTCCGTCAGTTTGGGTATAGACAGGTGATCCCTGATCCTCCTATTCTACCATCTCATGTCAGTCGACCTGCTGTAGGGACCTATAAGGTCGTTTTTGGGGCCGACCTCGATCATCTTTGGAGGTCTCGCTGTCAGCTGATCAATTTGGATGCCTACTCTACACCTTTCGACGACACATGATTCGTTGACCCAGAGTACCTTAAGTGGTACACTTTGCACACTCACCCATGCATTGTCCCCCTAGAGATGGTGAGCAGCAGGAGGTGGCGTTGTTGACGTATGAGATGGTTAGTTTCTATGTTTTTCCCCTATTGGTAAATTTTATTTCTAACATTTTATACTACTGTGGTATTATATACTAACACTAAATTTTATTTCTTGGACATTGCAGCTAGCATGTCAGATTATTGATGGTATTGATCCTTTGCTTCGTGCTTCTGATGAGGATCTTGACAGGCTGGGTCCTTATGGTGACATGATTCGACGAGTTCGTGACAAGTACATCTCTTTTCGACAGCAGAGACCGTACCGTCCACTTACCATGTAGTTGTTATATGTTGAACATTGTTGTTTGATGTTTGGATGTTGGAACTCTAGTTTGTTTAGGTTTAGGTGTTGGATATTTGTCATTTGATGTCCGGATGTTGGATGTTTGTTATTTTTATATTTGGATGTTTGTGTTTTTTAGTAAATTTGCACATGTTACTTGATTAATTTAACCTAAATCTACATATTTTCTAACACAAAACATACACCACTTGATTAAAAACACAATCTAAGGAAACAACACTTAATCACCCTCTTCATCATCGTTTGGATAATGTCCTCCGAGAATGGCATACAATGCCTGCTCTTGCTCGTATAAAAAGTCCCAATCAGGAATTGATGTCATACTCCGAAAATGAGACCATTGTGGTGAAAAAGGGGACATTGGTGTCACTCCATCGACATCGTCGACTATGAGTCGGACCCAATGTGCCCCAGTAAAGACCAGTGCCATAACTGCACTTGGTTGAGTGACCCCCTCCGATGCCGTCAAAGGTAAGGCGGTGTACCCATATGTGTGTCGCCCTCCATATAGTCCATTGACGACAATTGCCCAATTGTACATGGTTGCGAATACCAGTAGATCCACCTCCTCGAACCAATACTCTTGGGTGCATCTCTCAGCAATCCGACAATCCAATCTGTGAACTACTGCTGATTACTCGATATTTGCACATGTTTTCCCCTGTGTTTCTTGATCGTTTGAGCTATAATTATCACATCTTTGGCCTATTTTACGCTAGGTTGTGTTCCTTTGTCATATTTCAGGTCCTAGCACATAAAGTGAAGCATAGGCGCAAGTTTCAAGTCAATCAGAGATCAATTGGCGATTCGGGAGCAGAAACTCGGGCATGACCTGAAGAAGAATGGATTTCTACCTCACTTTATGGACAAAGAATCATGCAAGCTTGTCATGAAAAGAAAGAGGACGAGACTACGAGCGTTTGAGATCAAACGGCGACTGATTCGGAGTCCGGACGAGGGAGAAACGAAGCATTGAATATAGGGGAACAGGTTCGGCAGTAAAAACACGGGCGCGCCTAAATCAAAACACGGCCGTGCCCATATTTAGGCACGACCGTGTTTTGGCCAACGCGCCCGGGCGTGTTTTTAACACGGGGGCAAAACCAAAGCACGACCGTGCCCGCGACCGTGTTTTGCCCAGAATCGGGTTTTTTAACCCAAATTCGAGCCAAAGGAGGGGGAGAGCTGGATTTTGGATCCCAAACACCCAAGGGACGAACCAAAGAGAGAGAGGGCGATTTGAGGGCATTCTAAGAGTGGAATTGGAGGATTTCTTCGCCTTGGAAGCTCGAGGAACAAGCCCGGACTTGAAGACTGATCATCTGAAGATTCTTACTGCAGTCTCTCTCTTCTCTATGGAGTAACTTCCCTTCACTTAGGTTTTGAGGAACCCTAGCTATGTTTGTTTGATTAGATGATTGTATGAGTACTCTGACTTGATAATCTTGAGTTCATATTCAATCTATGCATGTTTTCATGATTCAATTCTGCTTTAGTCGAGATTATTGATTCTGCTTTGATCCTATGAGAGCGAATACCTCATTAGGTCAATAGAGCACCATATATTGATAGTAGTGGATCGATTTCTTTAGTCGAGGGTTGATTCACTGCTTTGTATCGATTGAGAACCTCTTTCGATAGAGGGAGTCTAGTTCAGAACGCCTTGATCGGTTGTTCTAGAGAAGGATACGTCCCTCTAGGCAATTGACTCAAGAGGGCCTTGTTCCTTTAGTCGAGACTCAAGGTCTAGTTAAGGATTATCCGCATTGTGAATGAAAGTGAAACATGTTAGAGATCATTAATCATTAATCTGGCTAGTGGCTAGGGGGAATCATACCTAAGTGAGTTCCCAACCTGTAATTAGATTAACTTTAATTGTAGTTTGTTAGAGTAGTTTTAGTTCTTTCATCTTAATCTGGTTTGCTAGATAATGAACTGAAGCTGAGTAATAGTAACTCTAGAGACCCGTGGATTCGATATTTATTACTTGAGCCACTATACTGCATTCCCTTTCATTGGTTACACTTGGCCATTGTTAGGAGTTGTGTCATAGCGAGTCAACTGCCTCCAACGATCCATCTCTAGAAAGGTAAACTCTCTTATAGAGATCCCAATTGTTTCTAACCTCTGTGATGATATCTTGTCTCATTTGTAGGTAGTGTCCCTCGTCTCCATGAATCGCATGTGACATGGCCCGAAAACCACATTGTCCGTCTGGTTCTGGGACAAACTGACACGCCAAAACACAACACCAAACTGCGACCAAGTGTAATCGCAGTCCGGGAATGCAGTAACAGGCAAGTTATATTATCAACCCGGGGTCTAGATCTACTGCTTACTCCGTGATGATTTATTATCTAGCTAACTAGTTCGAGTGATTGTTGTTTAAAGCAAAAGCAATAAGAAAGCAGGAAATGGTTCGGTTTTCGAAAGCAGGTAAGAGTCACTCGGGAATGAGTCCCCCTAGCCCCTTAGTTAGGTTCAATAGTAATTCCCCTGGGTTGATTTACTGTTGATTAGACTGCGGAAGATCCGACAGTAGCTTGGAATCTCTTAAGCTGACCAAGCCCTCTCAGTCTAACTACCCGGCAGACGCCTTGTCTTCACCGGGATAGAAAGCTGAGGCTATGAACACAGAACTCCACTACTGGAATTGAATTCCAGTACAAAGCAGTAAACTGGCTAACTCTCGTATAGCCAATCTCCTACTATCGAATGAAGAGGCTCTAACAACCTAATCAGATTCTATCTATCTCAGGTTGCAGCAGAAATTGAGAAAAGCTGATCAGACTCCAATCAATTCAATAAACATGCATCATTCGATTAAAGTCAAACAGTAATATCATCCCAAGTCATTACAATCAAATCCCTAACACAAGGAACTAGGGTTCTTCATACCCAAGTGAGAGAAAGGTTCTACTCCATAGAGAGAGAAAGGAAAACAGAAATCAGAGTAGTCATACTCATAAAGATGAGGAAAATCTGCTCTGGGATGTCAATCTTCACTCCTGGGGACGCAATCTGGGCTTCAATGATGAGAAATCCACTCCAAAATAGCTCCTAGGGTTTGTTCTTCGCTCTTTCTCTCTCTAAAACTCTGTTTTTGCTCTGGAAACTCGAATTCCTCTTCCTAGGCTCGAATCTGCCTCCAAAAAACCCGACTCTGGGCGAATTACGGGCAGAATTACGGCCGTAATCACGTCCTGCCCGTAATTCGCACCAAAATGCACGTTTCAATTAAGCGGAAGGAGGAGGAGATACGCCCGTAATTTCCCAATTACCGCCAGTAATTTGGGAATTACGGTCGTAATTCTTGGGGGTCTTGCCCGTAATTTTATCACCGAGAGGAATATCTGGGGAGAAGGCTCGGCAATTGGTTTACGGGCATGCCCTGACCAATTACGGTCGTAATTTGGCAGGGGCTGCCCGTAATTCCCTCTGTGATTCACCATCTGACCTCCAAATGACTCGAAACTTGCGCCTATGCACCTCCTTACTTGCTAGGACCTGAAATACGACAAAACAACACAACCTAGCGTAAAATAGGCCAAGGAACAACCAATTCGAGCCAAAATGGACAGGAAACCCGAGTGAAAACACGTGCAAATACGATGCTATCAAATTCCCCCACACTTAACTGTTTGCTTGTCCCCAAGCAAACCAAGTACTACACAAGGTAAGCTCATATATTTCAATCAACAAACATTGGGGACAAGTCATAAAGGCACAGAACACGTGAATCATACTGGTTTTCAAACATCAACACATGAACAACTTCAATAGCAACCTGGACAACCACCTCAAAGGACATTCGAGTGCTGCAAAATCGAGCAACGGAAGAGTTTCCCTTCTGTTCACCAACCAACCCAGACTTGACTCAACCACTCACTCAAAACAGTCAACTCATGCATCCAACTCAAGACATCAGAATAGAGACCGAGCAATCTAGGTCCTCACCGGGGTACAAGAGTATAAAGAATATGAAAATGAATCACTCACTCTCGACCAGTGGGGTCAGGACAATTTAATGCGAAAAATGCGCATGCTATTTCTCTCAATCCCTAACATCTCTTCACCATGATGGCAGCCTCTAACTGCTAGAGTTCACATATAGGATGTCATCACTAACTAATCAGGAGGTCTTAGACACAGGTTCAAATGACTGGCTAGGGTCTTGGACATGGGGAAAAGTCCTTTCAGGTGGTGGAAGTATTCATAGCACAAGGTTCCACATTTCCAAACTCACACAATCACAGTCAAACAAACCGGTATTCCCTTTCTGCTATTCTGCAATACTCAACATTTTCAAGAGCACAAGAGCGAAGGAGGCATAAACATCAGCATTTCCAAGCCAGACAGCTAAGAAACACTACTTAATGGGCATTATTCAGATTTTTGGTAGTGGCTCTCTTTTGCTTTCAATTTTTCTTTGTTTTTCTGCACATTTTTCTTTTCATTTCTTAAGAGAGCCACCACTTCTGCACATATTTCAAACATCTGCCCAACTTTTACGCACTACCTCCAACACTCACATAAACTTTAGCAGAAACAGCAGAGAATATGTAACAACCACTCGGTGGAACCTTCTAAAAGATGCAACAAGGGTGATTTTTTTCCGTTATAGACCAAAAGAAAGGATAACACACGGCTCAAAGGGGCTGACTAGGGGATATGACACATCAGGACAGTCAGTTTTGGGCGTGGGCTAATCCTATGCCCCCATCATCTTAGCTAATGACAACGTGAATGCTACACATCATGGAAGAGGGATCTATCGCACAAGAAAGAAACGAGCAGGCTCAAATCTCACATGGCTACCTATATGCTCTATCTCACATTCTGATACCCTGAACTAGATGCATAAACGACTGTCAAGAACAAGTGATCAGATCAAGTCACAGTTGGTAAGCAAACAGTTGAAAAACTGAACCCCTACACAATTCTACTGCACATCTCAGTCCTCATCATAGGTTGTCCTAGTCGCAAACAAGTTGTCATGCATTAATCCGAAAACCAATCAATTCATCCATCAAAACACAGTGCCAATATTATCAAACAGCAGTACTTGGAGCCCTCAAATCGTAAGATTCGGACAGCGGACTTGGACCCCCCCCCACACTTAAATGCGACAGTGTCCTCAATGGAGTCGAGGGAAGGGGAACGATGTTACCGTGAAACAGTGGCAGGAACGTTGACTGGATGGCGGACCAGTCAAAAGAAAAGGACTGGACAAGGACCACTCCGACGGGCACAGAGCTAGAACCAACAGAACACACACATTGGGTGAAATAACACATAGTTCCAAGTCAATAATCCACACAACGGGAACAAGAAAGAAAAACCAAACACAATACGGAGTCTAAGTCTGGAAAGATAGACAAAAGCCAAGCCCCAACTCGATGGGCTGGCAAAACCAAATCACAACTCGTCGCCTCCATCGCCAGTGGGAGGCGGGTAGTAGTCTTCATGCCCCGGGGACGCCTCCCAAGGGTAGCTCACAGCAGCAGGATCCATGTTCCAGTAGCTCATCATGTAATGCTGAGCTGAAATGATGCGGCGGCGACCTTCACGCTCACGGTCGTGGCGGGCGTTG